TTAGGTGAGTCAGTTGAAACGAGGCAGGTTCATTTATGAGGTGAGGAGCGTCGTGAGGCCGGGGGTCAGAGGTCAGGTCAGCTGTAACGTGACACTGAGTGGAGTTTATACCTTGTGGGAGACCAATGTCCAACATACCTGAGTGAGAAAAACACTCCACACGAAACTGACACACACACACACACACACACACACACACACACACACACACACACACACACACACACACACACACACACACACACACACACACACACACACACACAGAAATGAATTTATTTTGGGATCACCTGAAGATTAGGCACCCCAGCTTATTTCACGTGATAAATATATATACACTTACGCTAACCTAACCTAACCTAACCTAACCCAACCGAACTCAGATAGGATTTTTTCCCCTGTTAACAGCTTTCTCGTGGGATTGTCTTACAAATCCACTTGGGTTAATGAAACAGATACCCGCCTGCCAACACCCGTTTGTACACTCCCTCTTGACATTAACTCAGCATGGGAGAAATAAAGGATTTTGTTTTTCTTTTATTTGTTAATATAATTGAGGAGTAAATATAATATAAATTTTGTTTTTCAATTTTGTTTACATAGTTTTGTGGTATTTAATGTGAGAGTAAATGATGTATTGTTTATACAATATTTTGATGTTAGTTTTAGAATATGGATTTTTGATACAAGAATTAGCTTCGGGTCCGTAGCTCTGCGGTAGGACATTCGTCTCGTAAGGGGTCGATTCCTGGCTGGAGTGCGGGACTGGTTGTATATACAATATGTTTGTGTATATATGAGCATCTGTTTAGCTTAAGGTATTCGACAAATAAAAGTAAATTAATGAAACTGCGTTGATTAGAGAGCATCAGCGAGACTGCTCTTTTGTGTGTGTGTGAGCGAGCAGGCCACACAGCATACACCTCTGTGAGCTGTGTTGTGATAACGACACAGCACAGTGTGGTCGTGACGGTGTAATACAAGTTTACAGGCGCGCAATATCTCGCCCGGCCTCCTCCCTCCTCCCTCCTACACCACCGCCCACATTCTGTTTCAATTAGATCCGTCCAGCAAACAACCCCGAGTATGTCTGTTCTTCATAGACTTAAAACACAACCAAGGCGCAAACATCGAAGACGGAGGAAAATAGTAAAACCGATAATTGTACTAAATAAGGCATAAAAAAAGACAAAACGAACTAATATGTGGAAAAAAAAGTATTAAAGTGAGGAGAAATTTAGTCTTATGGGGAACAAGATATTTAGCCACTCGAGGAAGGGGGAAAAACAGACAACTGGCAACTCAAGGGTGTGACCTCTCCATAAAAGCCTTGTGTTGGGTCAAACGCAAACAGCCAGCGCTCGGCCTCGTTAACGAAGTGATCGTGCAGTTCTTCAGTTATCAGCAGCCATTGGATCACCCCTGAGACGCGAGGCTCTCCTTACTCCTCCCTCTCTTCCCCCACCCTTCACCCCCTCTCTCCCTCTTTCTCCTCCTTCTCTCTTTACTTCTCCGTTCACCCCTCCCCCTCTCTCCTTGCCCATCCCTTTCTCCTCCTCTCTTCATTTATCTTCTTATCCCTCTTTCCCTGACTCTTTCTCTAGCCCTTTCTCCTCTCTTTACTTCTCCTTTCACCCCTCTCTCTTTTCCCATCCCTTTCTCTTCCTCTCTCTACCCCCATTTCTTCCACTTTTTCTTTCTCCCCAACATTCATCTGCCTCTCACTCCTACTTCTTTCCCTACTTCCCACACTTTACCTTCTCTCCTTCCTGCTTTCCTCCTTTCCTTTACCCCCCTTTCTCTTTTCCCTCTAACCCTCCCCCTCTCTCACCTGCTTTCTTTTCACCTCTTTCCTAATAGTGTTCTCTACATTATTGTGTCTCTTGTTCAGTGCCTCCCCCATTAACTCTAACTCTCACTCCATTTTCTTTATTGGGTTAACACGTATCCCGTTTTCTTTATTGGCTTAACATGTATCCCATTTTCTTTATTGGGTTAACACGTATCCCGTTTTCTTTATTGGCTTAACATGTATCCCATTTTCTTTATTGGGTCAACACATATCCCGTTTTCTTTAGTGCTGCATCTTAGCAATTTCATGGAGTGGTGATATTCAGTCTGTTTTCTTTATCATTTAACTTTTTTTTACTGTATTTGGGTCACGTAACGTAAGTAAATAAGGATGGTATTTAATAGATCTTTCTGTTACCCGCATTTATTACAAAACACTAATACACAAACTAAGAATAAATCATACACTAAAATTACATCAGTATATACAGTACAACGTAAACTTATAAGAAATCCATCCAGTAATATACAAGTCACAGCTTAATTGTGTAACATAGGAAGTAATTTATATAGCTAGAGCTGATAATTTTAGTCTGTACAATAATAATAATAATAATGAAAACAACAACAAAAACAATAATAATAATAATTCTGGACCAAATAACTCGCTACATACAGGTACTTTTGTACTAATGACACACTCACACCTGGACACGAGACGGGAGCAACACACACACACACACACACACACACACACACACACACACACACACCTGTAAAATAACATTAATTAACACATGACCGGGCTGAGAACACGTACAGTACACATAATGATAAGAATAAAGCCACAACAACAACAACCACCACCCTCGTTAAGACGCTCATACTTCAACCTGTATCAAACTTGAATGAGACACTACAGCGCCATCTACAGTATGTATCGGTAGACTCAATAATCCAAGACACGTTTTAAAAGTTCGAAGATTATAGAAATAGAATAAACTTAACATTAACTAAACTAAAATATTAAAATTTTATTAGATATTTCTTAACTAAAATGTTTCTACTAAAATTTCATTCAATTTATAAATGTACTGGTGAATATATATAGTGGTGGATGGTTCATTAGTTCACATTAAGTTCAAAATAATGGGTTGATAGGAGTGTCTAAGTTCACAATAAGTTCAAAATAATGGGAGGGTAGAAGTTGCCAAAGTTCACAATAAGTTCACAATAAGTTTAGAACAGCCATTATTCTCACTATCACACCATACACACGGTACATACTTTAAGTAACAAATCAACAATCGAGGTCTCAGAAAGGCCCCTAATTTGCATACACGAAAAGCAATGTAAAGATGTTACAGAAATTGGCTTCAGTATACATGATGTCGATAAATAACAGCCATCATACAGAGTTATTACTTACTGTGTATAACTTCTGACCTGTTAACATAATTCACATTCATACAGAACAAATAGTTACATACACATTTATACAGAACTTAGCAAAATACTCCTACAGTCAGGAGAAAAGTATATATTGAGTAATCCAGGATATATACACCCATACATAAGAGAGCCAAAATATACATCTCATACATAAGATAGCCAAAATATACATCTCATACATAAGATAGCCAAAATATACATTCCTAGGCGAGATAGCCAAAATATACATTCCTAGGCGAGCCAATATACATATCCACTGTTGTTTACATACAGACCATTTCTCTTCCCAGCTCATGGAATATATACATACATATACATACATATTAGCGAAATGTAGAAACATATAAACAAGAAAATTTAATTTGATTTAAACTTACAGAATGTATGTATGTATGTATGTGTGTATGTATGTATGTATGTATGTATGTATGTATGTATGTGTGAAAATTTACACTTTATAATCATTGTCCCAGATTAAGATTATATTTACGACCTTTTTTGGTAAATAATAATAATAATAATAATAATAATAATAATAATAATAATAATAATAATAATAATAATAATAATAATAATAATAATAATAACAATAATAATAATAACAATAATAATGACTTCTTTACAGTGTCATTTGTAGATAATGTTATTATTTTTTAATTACTCATTTAATAGTTCAGTACATTCAGTAGAGCAGCTCAGTGGTGTGTTTTCTCGAGCAGTTTAATTATGTGACTTTTAACCACTACTTCTGTGCCTATTAAATACCACCTGTGCCGCTTATATACCACCTGTGCCTATTAAATACCAGCAGTGTCGATTATATACCACCTGTGCCTATTATATACCACCTGTGCCTATTAAATACCAGCTGTGTCGATTATATACCAACTATGCCGATTAGAAAATAAAATACATCACCTATACAAACATGTTCAATACTGGTCATGTACAAGTCTCACTCTTGAACACATGAGCATCACTGAACTACTACTTCCGTTCTCTCTTCCTTCACTTTGTTGACAGTATTAATATTTAAGAATTTCTCACCACTCATAATGTAAACACATATCTTCTTGTTTGTCTCAGTTCGTTAGGTTTTTTTTTTTTTATTTCAGGGCGTCGAAGAGGCTGTTGTTGTTGTTGTTGTTGTTGTTGTTGTTGTTTTCGCTTCCACAAGGGGTTTAAGTTTCTACAACAGACACTATATAACATTCGGAAACTACAACCTAACACGGACGATAATTTTTTTTTCTGTTATCATCCAGCAGTTATGATTATTTTCGTGTTTGTTTTTGTTTTATGTTTTTCACCACAAAAAACGGCACCACAGCTTCAGGACACACACACACACACACACACACGCACACACACACACACACACCACAGAGTCGGAAATCCACATCTAATAAGGCGTCTCAAGGCACTTAAAATATGTCTCTCTCACATAGCACTGTCTTGACCCCCACCGACTGGTCATCAATTATTCGGTGTCACATTGTTGGCCATGACGTATTGAGTCAGTCAGTCAGTCAGTCAGTCAGGGCATTCAAAAAGCTGATTTACCCTGATAGATTTTTTTCTCACTATGTTGGACGGAGTCGGAATAATTTTCGTATCGTATCTAAGGGGACGGCTGTACGCGTGTTTGGGGGGGGTGACAAAGAGGGGGATTGAGGGAGAATGATGTAGGGGAGGAGAAATTGACTGAGAAGGAGAGGAAGAATGAAACATAAGTCAATACAGGAGAGAGAGAGAGAGAGAGAGAGAGAGAGAGAGAGAGAGAGAGAGAGAGAGAGAGAGGTACGGTAAGGAATCTGTCGCTGGTGAAACGGGGAACATTATTGCACGAGCACAGTACACGTATCCGCTGTACTGAGAAGTTAACACAGCCTCATGCGATACCAACAGCTGTTATGACCAAAGCGTCAACACACATGGTTCATTCACTTCCTTATCTAATAATGGACGATCGTACCTCTAATAACCATTTGCATGAGGAACTAACGCTTCGTAAACACTGGAAGGTTGACGATGTATCAGTATCATGGCACTGATAAACGCCTATAGGGTGACAGAACAATATTCCAGACCAGTTCTGCTTAAAGTTTCTGATGAAGTCTTTAGAAACTAAGTTCTGTAACCTTAAGTCTACACAACCTAAGAGCGAATAACTCGAGTTTTCAGAATCTAAGTCCTAAGAACTTAAGGTTTCACAACCTAAGCCCTTTGAACTTACGTCTTCAGAACATACGTGTTTAGCACCTAACTCCTCAAATCCTAGGTTTACAGATTTTAAATACTTGCAGCATAAATCCCAGCCCTAGGACCCCAGCGCCAGGGGTTCCGTGTCCGGTACTAGGAGGAGAGCGAAAGGATCTGCCTCAGGTAATGCGGGTATGTCGTCAAAGGCGTCAAGGTTGTCCTCGAAGACGCATGAGTCATCTGATAGTAGGTCGCTGAGGTCGCTAGTACTGCCCAGAGAGCCCCGAGGCAAGGCGGGAGAAGAGGTAGTGGAGGAGACCACAGGGGAAGTGGAGTTGTGTGGACTCTGCGTGTGGACGACATGGTGGGTGGAGTAGTGAGTGGTGAAGGCGTCAGAGGTTGTTGGAGTTAGAGGGCTGCCCATAGATATGTCGGCAAACTGCAAACCATCGAAGAAATTTATATCCCCAGGATGGCCGTCCTCCAGGATGTGTGAGAGCGCCCTGATGTAGTTGACGGCGAGCTTGAGTGTGGTGATCTTAGTCATGGCCGCAGCGGCCTGACGGCTGCAGAAGTCTGGCAAGACGCGACGGAGAGTCTCGAAAGCATCGTTGATTTCCTTCATGCGGTGACGTTCGCGGGCGTTAGCTGTCTTTCTTCTGTATTTTGACAAGGGCGGAGGTCTGTGTTTGGGTGTCTTGGACTGCCTCCGTGGCAGGTCGTCTCTACTTCTCTCCAGCTGTAGCCTCCTGATGATGGTGCGGGGCCGCAGACCGTACTTCTCTGCTATCCTGGTAGGCCGCCGCTGCCCGCAGTTGTTGTTATTATCTGTACACGACATCTTATCATTCTGGGTCGAACGTGGCAATAACTCCTCCATATCTAGATCCTCTTTGTCGATCATTTTTCACAGGATGAAAATAAATGCTCTATCAGCCAACTTAATTGTGTCGGTTCTTAAGATCACTGTTTGTCACTGTGTTGAAATCATCAGAAGCCTTCAGGGGTAAGAAGTTGGAGTGAGCAAGAGCTTAAATAAGACACAAGTGATGTATAGTTTACTGGCGTCTGATTATATCAAGAGATAACTCAGTGGGTAAAGTATAAAACAGAGTGAGGGAACAGCCATCACTACCACCATCGTAATGACAATCTCATACCCGACGGCGGCAGCCCCAGACCTTGCCAGCCACCGTCAGCTCCACCGTCGAGCGCTGCCCTGCTCCTCGTTCCTGCAGTCGCTGGCACTGATAAAGAAGCAGTGGACCACAAGAACGACAACTACTCCGCAGATCACTTGTCACCGTCACTCGCGGGGCGCTAACAGAATTGCTAAACAGTCACTGGTCCTCACAACAAGCAAAACCACACATTCCTTATCATAATATTTGCTTTTTCTGCTATGTCAATTTTTCTCTTTTTATATCGGATACCTCAACACACGTCACTTAATATTATTCATTTATACAATCAATTTAGTACACTTATAACTGAACTTATATCACTTTTGGTATTGGTGTATTCCTGAGCACTAGCGATAACACCTGAGCTTTTGAGGTGAACGGTCTCCGCGTGATAATCAGCTCAGGTATGTCAGCCTGGCCATCACCACGAAGCCCGAAATCTGAGTCTTATTGCCAAGTTACAATATTTCTAGGCTCAGTTTATCTCCTTTCACCAGACAAACTCTACTGGATTGACCTGATCTTGTTTTTTCCCTCACTTCTCTTTTTATCTTCTATTATTGCTATTTATTATCGTTTTGTCTACTCGTGGATTTACGTTCGTAATCAATTCTCCTTTTTTTTTCATTCGTGCACCTGAGTGGCCAGTCCCAGCAGGTGTACACGGCTGTTAATAAGCTGTAGTGACAGGTGGTGGCGGTGGTGGTGGTAATGGTGGTGTGGTGGTAGTGTCGGTGGTGAAAACAACTGAGTAAATAAGCTGGCGCCGTGCAGGTGGCTGATACCTGGTGCCTCAGGAAGTGAACTTCACTTGCGATACTTTTTTTTTCTTCTTTTTTTTTACACTTGGCCGTTGTTAAAAGTCTTCTTCGTCTTTTCACTCTAGTTTATTTAAGTTTATTCGTCACAAAAATATTACTTTGTATCAGGTCACTACTTATCTTTAGTTGAACAGATTACTAGACGTATACTTATTTTCCGGATGAGAACAATTTGTAGAGGGAATTTTAAAGTCACGGAATAAACGGGTCTCTTCGACGATGGTTCCTAAGGTGTGATCGGAAAGTTTCTCAGTGGATGATCAAACAATTTTCACCTCCGTTGGCATAGCTAGCACACACTCTAAGGAATCAACACCACACTCTTTCTCTCTCCAGGATCACACACTCAGGCGCTCTACCAGAAGACACTCGGGAGACAGTGTTAACAAACTCCCCGTCACTCGTAACATTTGTAAAGACACCAACTTCTGGCACTTGGTAGTCAGACCTCTCTTGGGCCACGATTTACACTATGGGTTCATTCGTCTCTCTCAAGATCGTGCTGGGCTGGGTACGAGAGAGTAAGTGCATACAGGTGAGTGTCAAGTACTGCCTTGCACTGCCTAGTTCCCGGGTTCACCAGCACTATATTAGAGGCCAGTTCGACCCCCAGCTCACAGGAGAGAATCACTCTTGTTTGTGTTTTAACGTATATAATCCTCGGTCACTGGCTGAGGTGTGTGACACGACCGTCCGTCCTCACTGTGCTTGTCTGTCACCTGGGAATTAACAGAAAAAAAAATAAACAAGTGTATATAGTTGCTTAAATGGGTTTATGCTTCCATTCTTCACTTGGTATTTTATCTATTATTTATGATATGTGTTCCTCACTTTAATTTAATATATCGATAACATTAGAAGTATATATATATATATATATATATATATATATATATATATATATATATATATATATATATATATATATATATATATATATATATATATATATATATATATATATATATATATATATATATAAACTGTTAATTTCAGTATATACTTGCAAAACAATATTATTATTATTACACATTTTACCCCTTTTGATATCGGGCCTCGGATGCATCGTACTTGTACCTGTTAATTAGTGATGTGTGTGCGCGTGTGTGTGTGACACGAAGGTAATGGGCAGGTGGTACTGGTCCGTGCTGCCTTGTCGAGGGCACAACCACTACTGAGCCTCTCTCTCTCTCACGGTCTCACCCCTTGCCTGGCGCGTGTGCCCTCATCTATGATGTATCTCAATGTTTAACGACCTTAATCCTAAGACCTCACAACAGGAAACAAAACGAAAACCCTATCAAACTCTTCCCGTATAGAATATATTTTGTCACACATTGAGGTTTGGTCAGTAAAACTGAAGATTTAGGATCATGTGAATTTAAATCTCCGCGAAAGTTTTTGATGCACCTGACATGAAGGGTCGAGTGGTCAGGAGCAAGTCAGAGCAAGCTAGACGTTCATGGGGTCCAGAGGTGCCTCTTCTCCTTCAACCTGGTGCAAACATGCGAGTGGATGACGTGTATAATTTTCATTCATGCCCAGTAATAAGACACGTCACACTATAACGAACTGTATGTATCTCTCCCATTCGTGTCATTATCCCAGTTTGTGATTTTTCCCGAATTTTCCCTCTTTTTTTGGCTTTAATATTTTTTCCAATTTTCTGTGTAATTTTCCTAGTTTGTGATTTATAGTTTTCTTGTTTTTGTTACCTTTCTCATATTTCTGTAATTGCTTTCAATTCCTGTAATTTTCCTTAATTTTTCTTTTTCGTTTTGTTTCGATTATGCTATATATAGTTAAGTAAGGTAAGCTTAGACGGACTTAGATTACGTCATGTGAGGTTAATTGAGGTTAGGTTAAGTAAAATTAGGTTTGGTTAAGTTAGGTTTGATTACGCCATGTGAAATAAATTTAGATTAGGTTAATTAAAGGTAGGTAAGGTTAAATTGGGTTAGCAGTAAGGCCCGTTTCCACTTGAGAGCGGACTCTCGATAGTTACTGTCGATAGTTCTCTCATCTGTATATCCACATGAGAACAAACTTCTGGCGAGTTTCAGCTGTCGCGAGTCTTCCCGACAGTAGCTGTCGGAGAGAACTCTCAGTGGTGTGTCCACCTGACTAGAGCTACACTCTATAGTGACTCTGAATCAGTCAGTAGCAATGGGTGGTAGAGGACGTGACAGAAAGTTTGCTGCAGCAGTAATAGTTATACTGATGCTGGAGAAAAAAGAAAACCAGTAAAGAAGGTGTTGGATAAAGCACTGAGTGGAACGAAGAGGTGAACTAGGAGTTAACAACAGGCTTACTTTACTTTTATCCACTTCGCCACTGATGAGCTCGTTAGCCGCTTGGGCGATCGGTCACGTCTTTGATTACTTTTCCTTTTCATTTATCTTCTTCACCAAAAGATCGGCTCGCTAGCCGCCCGGGCGATCGGTCACGTCTCTGTCACGCACTGTTGGCAAATACTGGGCATGGACCGGCTCCTGAATGTACCTGAACCCGTTCCAGTGTTGGTCAAGCCTTGTCTTGAAAGAGCTCACACTCGGTGCCGTCACTACACTCTCTGGTAGATTGTTCCAAGAGTTTATAACCCTCACTCCGAAAAAGTTTGCCCTCACAGTTTTCTGGACTTGCGGCTTCTTCAATCTTGAGCTGTGACCCCTTGTAGGGCGAGCGTCCGCCAGCTCCAAGTAAGGACACTCGACTGAGCAGTACCCCCTGAGATGCTTATACACCTCAACTAGGTCCCCCCTTGCCCGTCTGTAGTATAAGCTAGGCAAGTTCAGGCGCTCCAATCTCTCAGGGTAGCTGAGGTGCCGAAGTCCAGGCACCAGTCTGGTGGCCCTCCTTTGAACATTTTCAACCAACTGACAGTCCCTAGCATATCTCGGGGACCAGACGGGGTGACAATACTCCAGATGGGGAAGCACTTCACTCTTGAAGATCGTTACGAGGGATGGACCGTCTAGATATCTGAACGACCTTCTTGTAAGACCCAATAATTTATTTGCCTGGTTTACCTTCTTCTCGCAATGGCCCGAGAACTTCAGCTCATTGTCAACATACACACCTAGGTCCTTCTCACATTCAGTCTTAACTAGTGCAGTTTCTTCATTCCGTTGGGACATACGATACGCCTCCTTACCGTTGGTACGCCCCAGGTGCATCCTCTTACAGTTCGTGATATTGAATCTCAGCAGCCATTTCTTCGACCATTCCTGGAGCCCACAGAGGTCCTTCTGCAGCTCTTCACAGTCTGCTTGGTTCTTAATTTCCCGAAATAGCTTGGCGTGCTTGTGAAAGAATTACAGATAGAAGATGCTCAACAGTTCCGTAATTTCACCCGTATGTCAGCAGTTCAGGTGGAAGAGTTGGTGAAATTGGTTGGACCATTAATTTTCAAGAGGGACACACGGTTTTTGGCGTCAGGTAAGTAAACAACAAAAATACACCCAAACGTCCTGTGCCAATAATTAGTTGAGGTTGTCTTCCTTCTTGTGATCCCACAAGTTAGGAATCTTTTCATACAAGGATATCAACAGAAAAGTCTTCTCCTGAATCCAGAGCGCCATGCTTCACCTCTCGAGAGCACTGCCAGACTGCGAACCTGGTCCGTATAGCTGAGAGCTGACGTGACAGTTGCGGGCTACCATGTGTCCACACGATAGTAAACTAGCAGGGAGTAGCTGTCCGACAGTAAACTCAAACTATTTGAGAGTTACTCTCAAAGCCATGTTCACTTGATAGTAATGCTCTCGACAGCACTTTACTCTCAAGTGGACACGGGTCTTTAGTCTCGTTTAAGTTAAATTAGGTAAGGTTACGTTTGCTTTAGTCCGTATACTGAATGTGCAAGCTAGTTCCTTTATTCTGGTGCTCTCTAGTGACATAAGAGGAAGGCTGATATTGTTATATTGTGAAGAAGGACCCCAATTGAGAGGTTAGCTTTCGTCTGGTCTGTAACAAGGGACTCACGCATACAGGTGTTTAGCTGATGGCCATGTTAACACCTACTTTGCTTCAGCTAACCAGAAGATGAAGGCTAACACATGCTAATGAGTGGGTCAGTGTGTGTGTGTGTGTGTGTGTTAGAAATGACTAGACCGGCCACTCTAACCTTACAAGATCTCGAATCGAACCAACCCAACCTAACCTAACCTAAGTTATTGTTTGGTTAGGATAAGCCCTGGATGACGGTCTCTTGCTAGTCGCGTGTATTAGTGTATATCTTCCCGTATAAAATAGTTCCCCCTAAGAAACCGTTTTCTGTAATGGTGAGGTCTTTATGCCATATATTCATGGTAAACTTATCTATTTCGTATTCTGTGAGTTTGTCTTTAATGTAAGAAATTTTAAAGAGAAAGAGATGAAGATAAAGGAGGATAATAATGAGGGATAGATAGAGATAGAGACAGCATAAGAGAGTAAGAGAGAAGATGAGATACAGATTGAAACAGCCGTAGTGGTTTTGATTCTACTTGGTGATGTTGACAGATTCACCTCTGAAACATTACATCAACATTATCACTTTTTGTTTTGTTAACGCATTCTTCTCAGATATGTATAATTATTACTTTTTTATATAAATATTTCACTACTACATAATATCAGTATTGGTTATTTTAATCTTTCTCTCCAAATTTGCATCACGTATCATACCTACAGTAATCACGTTAAAATTAGGTACCCCAGCTTATTACACTCTGAGGGGATTAGGTTAAGTTAGGTTAGGTTAGATGGATAGTCATTAAGGGGCTGTGGGCCTACTGTAATCTTTACATGATCTACATATCTTTTCTTTTTACCATTGCTACGTATTTCGTAATTAATCTTTCTTTAATACTATTACTAAGACGGACACTGAGTTACCTGAAGATTAGACACTGCGACTTTTTCTCACCTGAAGATTAACCGCATTTTAACTTTATACCTGAGGGGGATTTGTTAGGTTAGGATAGGATGGGTATAGTTAGTTTAGCTTAAGTTTATTTACGTTTAGGTTAGGTTAGTTTTTTTAGGTTTAGTCAGGTTAGGTTAGATTAGTTTTAGTTAGTATAGCTTAGGTTAATTTTTAGAATAAGTTAGGTTAGGTTAGCGTTAGGGTGGTTAGGTTAGGTTAATTTAAGTTAGGTTAGGTTAAGTTAGGTTATGTTAGCGTTAGGGTGGTTAGGTTAGGTTAATTTAAGTTAGGTTAGGTTAGGTTAGGTTATGTTAGCGTTAGGGTGGTTAGGTTAGGTTAATTTAAGTTAGGTTAGGTTAGGTTAGGTTATGTTAGCGTTAGGGTGGTTAGGTTAGGTTAATTTAAGTTAGGTTAGGTTAGGTTATGTTAGCGTTAGGGTGGTTAATTTTTAGATCAAATGAACTATCCATTACGGTGTCTATCTCCAAACGCTATCATACACACATCAATATCACGCATTTCCAATCAAACTTTCTTAACTCATACGTCAACATAGCACATTTCCAATTCTACTTACATCACTTCACCTCTTAAGACATGCACCATAACCACCCATTACCAGTCCAACTCTCTTGACCAAATAAGACCAGCTCGACCTTCTAGAGTCGCCTCGTGCCCACCCTCCCTCCTTCACACTCACCTGCCGTAAAGAAGCCACCAGAACCGGTCATGGTACGCACGGGGTAACTAGATATCATTATTGTGTGTGTGTGTGTGTGTGTGTGTGTGTGTGTGTGTGTGTGAGTGTGTGTGTGTGTGTGAGTGGTTTAATCCCTCTAATTCTAACCTCCACAAACTCTGCTGATGTTGTCTGATTCCATGGTTGTGATAATTGATATTTCCTTATTGAAAGTAATTTTTTTTTATTTATTTATTTTTTTACTTTTTCGGACAAGGTGTTTATGTTCAGTGTGAGCGTAATGTCACGAACCGAGCACTAAGTGATGAATTACCTGTCTAACACCACTAAACACCCATGTAATCCTCACCTAACACCCACTAAACATCTCTGTTAAACTAAACTAACGCCACAAAACTCCCCTAAACACACAACCACTGATCACTTATCCAGCACCCGCCCAACCTGTAACACCTCGTACTCACCCATCAAACACCCACTCAATTAATCATCGAATCAAAATACACTCAACCCCAAGTAACACGACTCCCCGCCAATAAATTTGATAAGTACCAG